TGACCTTAGAACTGAAGAAGCTTCTCGGATGAGAGGTGAAACGTCTTCAAGTAACTTAAAGAAGTCCAGACGCTTTTCTTTGCATGCTCCTTTGAACCTATTTAAAACGCACCCCGCCAGGAGAAGACAGAGCATGCGCAGTGGGACCGCATGGCCCGGAAGTGCCCCTTTTCGGATGAGTGAACGCGCGTGCACGTGCACGTGCAAAATGTGCCAGTTTTTAAGTTTGGCAATGGGGGTGTGGGGGTATGTGTTTTGGTCTAGATTTGGTCTAGGTCTAGACATTAAAACTTTTTTAATATTGTTTTGTAGACTGCAGACATGTTTGCTGCTAGTAATCTGCGACCTGAAGATCAGTTTCTGTGCTCCATCTGCCTGGATGTGTTCACTGATCCAGTCACCACACCATGTGGACATAACTTCTGCAAAAACTGCATCACCCGGAACTGGGACATTAATGTTAGGTGCAAGTGTCCGCTGTGTAACAAACTGTTCAAGAGACGACCTGAACTGGAAATAAACACTTTGTTCTCTGAGATGGTTGCTCAGTTCAGAGATGAAGCTCAACAGAATGCAAGCAGCAGCTCAGAGCAACAAGCTGCCAAACCAGGAGAAGTTCCCTGTGACTACTGCACTGGAACCAGACTGAGGGCCCTGAAGTCCTGCCTGGTGTGTCTGACCTCCTACTGTGAGACTCACCTAGAACCTCATCTGACAATCAAAGGTCTGAAAAGACATCAGCTGATTGAGCCTGTGGAGAACCTGGAAGGCAGGATGTGTACGAAGCACGATAAACATCTGGAGCTGTTCTGTAAGACCGATCAGACAAGTGTTTGCACGCTCTGCTCTGTTTTAGACCACAAGACTCATGAGTTTGTACCTCTGAGAGAAGAATCTGAAGAAAAGAAGACAGAGCTGAGGAAGATGGATGATGAAATTCAGCAAATGATCGAAAACAGACGACAGAAGATTCAGGAGATCAATGAGTCAGTGAAGATGAGTAAAGATGCTGCAGACAAACAGAAAACAGAAGGTGTTCAGATCTTCACTGTTCTGAAGGAGTTTATTGAGAAAGACCTGAAGAATGTCATAAAGGAGATAGAAGACAAACAGGAAACAACAGAGAAACAGGCTGAAGGTCTCATCAAAGAGCTGGAAGAGGAAATCTCCGAGTTGAAGAAGAGGAGCTCTGAGTTGAAGCAGGCCTCACGCTCTGAAGACCACCTCCACTTTGTGCAAAGCTTCTCATCTCTGAAAGCTGTTCCACCTACCAAGGACTGGACAGAGGTCATCGTCCTTCCACCAACATATGAGGGGACTGTGATGAGAGCTGTGGCTCAGCTGGAGGAGACACTCAAAAAACATTTTAAGAAGCTGCTTGCTAAGGCTGAGCTGAGGAGGGTCCAGCAGTATGCTGTGGATGTGAGTCTTGATCCTGATACAGCACATCCTGAGCTCATCTTGTCTGATGATGGAAAACAAGTGAATTTTGGTAATGTGAATCAGACTCTTTCAGACAACCCAAAGAGATTCACAGTTTTTGCAAATGTTTTAGGAAGGCAGGGTTTCTCTTCAGGCAGATTTTACTTTGAGGTTCAGGTTAAAGGAAAGACTGACTGGATTTTAGGAGTCGCCAGAGAATCAGTGAACAGGAAGGGAGGAAACTCAGTAAAGCCTCAGGATGGTTTCTGGGCTCTATGGCTGAGGAACAACAACGAGTACACAGTCTGTACTGGCCCAGCAGCCGTTCTCTCTTTTCAGTCTGCTCCTGATAAAGTGGGAGTGTTTGTGGATTATGAGGAGCGTCTGGTCTCCTTTTATGATGTGTATGCAGCAGCTTTTATCTACTCCTTTACTGGCTGCTCCTTCACTGAGAACCTTTACCCATGTTTCAATCCCTGTAATAATGATAATGGTAAAAACTCTGCACCTCTTGTGATCACTCCTATCAATCGCATTAACTAGACAAGAAAAGTTATTACATTTTATTTGAAAGTGGTCTGTGAAAAGATTGTAATGCTGTTTTATTGTTCTCTTTTACAACATGTTTCTCAATGCTGAATTTTCATCATTTCACACTCCCCCACAATTACAGTTTTCTCCCTTTAAGAGGGAAAACAGGATGTCTAGTCTAGTATCATTTAAACCAAAGGAGCAAAAACATTTAGGAAATGTCCTTGTAGTGAAAAAAGCATATCTTTAAATGTGTACATACACATATTTGATTACATTCAATATAATCAAATGTTGGATTCTGAAATTTTAAAGCTGTGTTATTCATATATTTATTTAAAAACTTTTTGGTTAATGACAGCTTCTGATAAATGTGTCCATTCTTAGTTGCGGAACAGTTTTTAAGCTGTATGTATGTTTACTGCACATATTCATTTCAGAGGTGAGACCAAGAATCTGGCTTTGACAATCTGTAATGATGTCTTCAATAATGATGTGTTTGAATGATGTCTCCACCATAGGACATGTTTTCGCAATCATCATGTATAACATGTCCTTGCATTATGTGCCTGTCTGTGTATATATATATATGTGTATATGTATAT